CACATGGAAATATGAGAATGGTTTCATTTCTAGATTCTGTGTTCTGACCCATATGTCTATGTCTTTATTTTTAAACCACTACCATACTATTTTGATCACTATACACTTGTAGTATAGCCTGAAGTCTGATGCCTCCAGACTTGTTCTTATGTTGTAGAATTGCCTCGACTACTTGGGTTTTTTTCTGATTACATACTAAGTGTAAATCTTATTTTTTTAAGATCTGCAATTATGACATTGGTATTTTTATAGGGATTGCATTGAATCTGTAGATCATTTTGGATAATTTGGGCATTTTAACAATGTTGATTCTTCCAAGCCATAAGCATGATATGTTCTTCCATTTATTAACATCCTCTGCAATTTCTTTTCTCAGTGTTTCATAATTCTATTTATAGAGATCCTTCACATCATTTGTTAAATATATCCCATGATTTTTCATTTTGTCTCATGTTACTCTGAAGGGAATTTTGTCCTTGCTTTGATTCTCACCTTTACTTTTGTTGACATACATGGAGGCCACTGATTTGTGTATATTGATTTTATATCCTGAGATGTTGCTGTATTTCTTTGTAAATTTCAGGAGGGTTTTCTATGTATACGATTATGTTCTCTGTGAATAGAAAACATTTTACTTCTTCATTTCTAATATGCATGACTTTTATTTTTTTTTCTTTCCTACTTGTTTTGGTTAGGATTTTCAATACTATAATGAATAGAAGTCGTGAGAATGGGCATCCTTGCCTTCTTTCTTATCTTAGAGAAAAAGTTTTTAATCTTTTAACATTCATTATGATGTTATCTGTGTTTTTTTCATAAGTGGTGCTCATTATGCTCATTTCTGTCCTAGTTTACTGAGTATTTTATTATGAAAGAGTGCTTAATCTTGTCAAACAGTGTTTCTGCATCAACTGAGATGATCATGTAGTTTTTGTCTTTTCGCATGCCCAAACCCCCCAAAAAATTTAACAAGGCATATCAAGTATCAGAGAAATGTGGCCCAATCAAAGGAACAAAATAAAAATCTACCCTAGAGTAACACAAATCTATAAGCTGCTTGACAAAAAAAATTTTTTTTTGAATTGTCACCAGAATGCCCAATAAACTAAAAGAGAGCACAGGTAGAAAACTAAAGAAAATTTGAAAAAATGAGGCATGAACAAAATAAGTTATCAAAAAGATATGGAAACTATCTTTTAAAAATTCCAGAAATATGGAGTGAGAATTCAATAACTAAACTGAAAAATGTATTAGGGTGGTTAAACAGAAGACTTGATCAAAGAGAAGAAGGAATCACTGAACTTGAAGACAGATCATTAAAATCATTTCAGCAGAAGAGCAAAAATTAAACAAAAAAATGAAGAAAAGCAAAGAGAGCCTAAGGGACTTACTGAACACTATAGATAAATCAATGTAAACATTCTGGGAATCTCATAAAGAAAAATAGAGAGGCTCAGTGCCTATGGATCAAGCAGCTAAGGTGCCAGCCACATACGCCTAGCTGGCAGGGTTGAATCCAGCCTGGGCCTGCCAAACAACAATGATGGCTGTAACAAAAAAATAGCTGGGTGTTGTGGCAGGCACCTGTAGTCCCAGCTACTTGGAAGGCGGAGGCAGGAAAATCACTTGAGCCCAGGAGTTAGAGGTTGCTGTGAGCTGTGATGCCACAGCACTCTACCCAGGGTGACAGCTTGAGGCTCTGTCTAAAAAAAAAAAAAATAAATAAATAAATAATAATAATAATTTAAAAAAGGATATAAGAGAAAGGGCCAGAGACTCTAAAGAAATTTCCTAAATCTGAGGGAGAAAAGAAGGACATACAAATTCAAGAACCTAAAAGAGCTCCAACTATAATAAACCCAAAGAGAATCACAGCAAAACATATTTTAATCAAACTATCTGAAGTCAGGGACTTTCAAGAGAGAATAATGAAAGCACAAAATAAAATTTATTTGCATATCAAACTAAGCTTTCACAAAATAAGTGATAAATTTCTCAGCAGGAATTTTGCAGGTCAGAAGGGAGTAGGATGTATATAAAGTCCTAAAAAAATGCTGTCAACCAAGAATACTGTGTCTAGAAAACCTAGAGTTTCCCAGATACACAAAAGCTGTGGGAGTTCATTATCACTAGACATGTTCTTCAAAGAATTGTTGAGCTACAAAAGGATAGTAGACCACAAAACAAAGCTGACAGAAAATACAAAGTTTTTCGACAAAGGTAAACGTATGAACAGATATGGTAATCTGTACCATTGTAATTTTGTCACATAGATTTTAAATGACATAGATTTTAAAACCATACAACAAAGAGGTATAATTTTATGTTGATGTGTACCTATTATATAAAGATGTAACTTGTGACATCAATAACAATGTTTTGGGGAAGTAGAGCTACAAGTGTGTCTGTATATGATTGAAGTTGTTAATCAGTTTAAAATATAATGCTATAACTTTAGGATTCTTTAAGTAATTGCAATAGTAAGCAAAAAGAAAACATCTATAGAACATAGATAAAAGAAAATGAGAAAAGAATAAAAGTAGCTAATTATCAAAACATTAATGAAACACAAATGAAGTCAGTAAGAGAAGAAACGAGGGACATAAAAAGACAAACAACAAAACACCACTATTAACAAAATGGCAAAGTAATTCTCTCCCTGGTTAGAATGCACATAGGCTAAAAATGAAAGGATGGAAAACTATATTCTATGCAAATGTCATAGTAGCCAAAAGAGAGCAATGATAACTATAGTAATATCAGACAAAATAGATTTTTAATTAAAAACTAGTATAAGAGACAAAGAAGGATATCATATAATGAAAAAAGGCTCAAGTCAGCAATAACCATTATAAATATTTATGCAAAAAACCTCGGAGCTTTTAAATTTATAAGACATGCTTTGAAATAATTCAAAGGAGAAATAGATAATAATACAATAATAGGAGGAGACTTTATAACAAGCAAAATAATCTATAATATCTTCCATGCTATGTATGTACAAATGAAGCCTTTTCTTTGATATTTCTAGCTAGTTTATGAATTTTAGCTTATAGGCTTTTGCAAGCATTCATTTAAAGGGAATATCTTAACTTAAATTAGTTAATTAGTTATTTTTTGATGTGGCCATTATGGATTCCTAGCAGTCATAGTGATGCCTTAGAATTTGAAGTTAAACTTTAGGGAAGTAAAGCACTTTTTAAATCCCCTGATTATATCATCAGATTTATATTTATCCTATTGACCTTTCTGAGATATTTCCACACTTTTCCTTACTACATGATTGTTTCTTCAAGTGTGATCCATGTACCACCTGAAATACCTGGGTTGATTTTTAGCATATTCCCAATCAATCTACCTATATTTGGGGGAGGGAAAAGATTTATGTTGCAGCAATCTGCCTTCCAAGTAATTTTGTGTACAAAAGCTTGAGATCCTTATATGCACTAAAGCTTATATATGAAAGCTTGAGACTAGCTCATAAGTACATATAATTATTCTATTTAAATGACCAAAGACCCAGGTTTTATAATTCTGGCACATTGTGTATATCCTAACAATTTAGATAAGGTATGTGGAAGAGCCAAATATCCTAGCACCAACAAATGTCCTAGGCACCTACCTATCAAATAGTTGAAGAACATTTCAATTGAATCACTAAACATTGGATTGTGAAACTTTTAACAAATGCATCCATCTCACTTCATGATTATCAGTGATATTAAGGGAATAAGTATGTGTGCCTATGACATACATATGAAAATGTAAATATTCTTCAATGAATAAGCACTTCCTTGGGTTTGAACCTAACTCATATTTTCAGTTCAAAATCAGGAGATTAGCCTGGTGCAGTGGCTCATGCCTATAATCCTAGTACTTTGAGAGGCCAACATGGGAGAATTGCTTGAGACCAGAAATCTGAGACCAACCTAAAGAAAAGCAAGACCTACCATCTCTACAAAAAAAGAAAAATGAACAGTCTCAGCTACTCAGGAAGCTGAAGCAGGATTGCTTGGACCCATGAGTTGTAGTAAACTATGATGGTGCCACTGAACTCTCTCCTCAGCAACAGAACAAGACCCTGTCTCAAAAAAAAAAAAAGAGAGAGAGAGAGAACATAAGAGATTGGTTCCACTGTCTAGCAATCTTGAGCACCGGGTACAATTCTACTCTAATCATAGAACATAACTTTTAGGAAATTTCTGATTTTGTTCTTTTTTCAACTGTAATGTGAGGATGTCAAATTAATTGGCATCTGAGGTCCTGCTCTAAGATTCATGTCTAAAAATCTTTGAAAGAGATAGGAAATTCCAAGGCCTCTATTTCCTATAATTCCAACAGATTTTAAATTCTTTTACTTATGTAGAGACTCTATTATGATATATCTGTGAGTGCCTATAGATCTCAGCTAAGAGTCGGTGATGTATCCCTAGTTTGTTGTTTTTTCTGTTACATAATGCAGTGGCCTTTCCACATTTATATTCCTATTTCTCACATTTTACAACTTGCTTTATGGCACAGGTATTTCAGGAAGATTTAGGGTTTTTGAATAGCATCATGGATTTTTTTTTGCATTAATTTTACTTCCTCAACATTGTATTAAGTATTATTTATCTCAATTACAGAGCATTGTCAGAAGGCACCCTTAAATCTGAACCCTGAGTATCTCATTTGCATCATCCTGATCCTGGCCCTAAGACAGGAGCTCAAAAAGGGTGGTCAGAGAAACAAGAACAAATAAGCCCATCTTGAATTTTGTCAAAAATAGACCAATTAATTTTAAAAAGTAGACATTGCTTATCTAAGTGCAGTGGACACACAACGAATGAATCATCTCAGTAATTTGAGGAGAAACCATAAAACTAGAAGTGAGGGTGGGTGGGGACAAAAGAGATACAACAAAGCATTTCAGGAAGGACACTTCCTTTTGCTGATTTAGCCTCAAAGAACTGGGGGGTTGTTCTCATACACAACTTTAATGCCACGCTCTCCTCTCTGCAATGGATAGACAAGTGGTATATGCTGATTTGAAAGTATCCAGAGATTCCAGCCCTAAAAATTCATCACCCTCTTCTCTTCCTCAGGGTAAGTAGCTTTAATTTTCCTTTTGGCATTTGTTTATCTTCCAGAGTTAGATTTTCATCTTGCATTTATGGCTTTAAAGCATTGCTTTAAAGATAAGTTGCAATTGTATAATAAGGTTTAATAGGTGTAGCATAGCTTGTCCATGGATAATCGCAATTTTAGAGAAAAATTTTAAACCTCGTAAATTTATTTTTTATCAAGATAGCATGGAAAGTGAATCACTTCTCACTTCTTTTACTGAGCCTTGATTAAAAGACTCCAATGAAATATTTCACATATATGAGCAAAAGGAATATTTTTAGAGACACACTGGGAACTTGCTGTGTTAGTAACCTACCTTATTCCAAATTCCTTTACAAAATATCAACACCATGATTACATTCCAGTCATATGCATCCATAACATTTTTTTCAGAATGCAAAATGAAGGCTTAAGGATTAACATCCTCCACTCTCCAAAGGAAGTGGAGAATTTTCTTGAAGAAAACCATATTCAAAATCAAAGACCTGAATGTAATTACAACCTGATAGTTTCTAATTTGAAAGTATCACACTTTAAAGGAAATGTATACAACTATTATGTACCCATAATAATTAAAAGTTATGTCCTTTTTTTAAAAGATAGAGATACGCCACAAGAAACTGGACCATATTAATAATAAATCTATTTAACATTTGTTGAAAATGGCACTTTTCTGTGTGCCAGAGGAGTTAGTACTCAGAGTGAAAGGGATGGGGAGTACCAATGTGAGCTAATGCATGTATATGATGGATAGCACAGCCAGGGAATAAATAAAGGGACCAGAGAAAGGGGCAGAAAATACATATGAAATTAACAACATACAGGTAGTAGTACCTTCATAAAATCTAACTGAATTTACTGGTACCGATAGTGTTACAATTGTTTTCCAGTCAGATATATATTCCATATTGTGCTGAAGTTTGTGACACATTAAAATTTTTCAAAGATTTAGGTCAGGAAGAAAGTTTTAGGGTCTTCAAAAAATTTTCACTATACTTACTATAAAGTTGGAGGAAACTGGAGTATTTGATTGAGCCAGTTATTTTTTCTTTAATGAGAAAAGGCAAGTCTTTCCTTTCCCCTATTCAGATCTAGCAAAAGAGTATGGAGGGTGGGTGTTGAAAAGAGGTGTCAAAGAATGAGTACAGAGAAAATTACTCTCCCCAATGCTACTGTCCACAGTTTCAAATCAATGGATCCTTAAAACGTGTATGCTTGGATTGTAACCATGACCCTATGGAATATCATCTTAAAAGTAAATCTAAAAGAACAAATAACAGAATAAAGCCAGAGGAAAATATGTAACTACAAAACAATGACCTGGTATTATAATGACTGTGAAACCACTATTGGACAGGTTAGCTAATATGTGGTAACTGCATTGCACTGTGATTGTATCTAAGGCAGCAGCAAAATCAGAAAGAGAGAAATGAGTGATAATCTATTTTATTTATGTCCAAATGGTCAAGGATTTGGTCTACTAGAAAAGTGTATAAAGTATTAGAAAATGCTTTTAGATCATTCATTTAAAAATAAGCACTTCAGCCAGGCATGCTGAAAAGGTACCAGCAAATAAAATAGAGAAAATGTTTTTGCTTCATAGAGTTTATATATCCATGGTGGCATATAGTCAATTAAGTAAACAAAAACAATGTTTATAAAAGATTAGATGGTGTTGGTGCTATCAAGAAAAAAATTTTAATGGAATTGGACTTTAGCTTTTGTGAAGAGAAGAGTTGTTACCGTACATTAAATAGAATAATCATGGAAGGTCTCCCTGAGAAGACATGTGAGTCAAGACCTGAAAGCAGTGAGGGACAAAGCCATGCTCTCTGACAAAAGAACCTTGTAGGAAGTTGGACCAGCAAGTGCAAAACCTTGAAATGAGCACAGGCCTATTGCAGGAGAAGGATGCCTGGAGAGCGTATAATATGGAGACCAGAAGGAGATGAAAGCAGAGCAGTAACAGGGAGCCAAATGGAGCAGGAATTTGTACACTACTTTATAGACTATAATTGCTTGATGGAAAGCCACCGAAAGGTTTAGAACACTGAAGTGAGATTACCTAATATCCCATTTACACAAAGAATAGCTCTAAGTAGGTATTTCCAAACAACATTCACTGGCTCTCTTCAGTGATCTATTAGTAACTCCATTGATTCCAATCACATACAATGAAGCAGAAAACAGTACAGGAAAGCATTCCTCCTAGGTACAGAACAATGTTCTACTCGATTCCTTAAATTTTAGCATGAATGAGGGACAATTTTTAAAAGTCACCAAATTGGCTTTTATTTATAGTTTAAAAAATTATAAAACTACTATTTATTGAACAGTTACCATGTGCCAGACACTACGTCTAACATTTAGAAGAATTGTAATCGGGTGGTGCCTGTGACTCAAAGGAGTAGGACGCAGGCCCCATATGCAGGAGGTGATGGGCTCAAATCCAGCCCTGGCCCCCCAAAAAAGAAGAATTGTAATCTTCTTAGAATCCTCTCCAAACCTAATGGAGTACATATTATTCCACATTTTACAGATGAGGAAATCTGTGGTTTATGAAGGTTCAACATATTGTCTAAAACAACATGTTCAAACTCAGATCTGCTCAATTTGAAAGACTGCTCTTCATGCTAGACTTCAGTAATAAAAATTTAGTAAATTAATTTTAGTAATAAAGTTATGTTAGCAGTGAAATAGTGACTATATGAAGCTTTCCCCATATTGCAAACAAACCTGGAGTTAGAAGGAAGAAAAGGATGAGAGAAAGAAAGTTGAAATTATATAGGCTTATTGACTGGGTTTAGCCAGGCTTATGTCATACTAGCTTTCTGAAGAAGTATTGGATCAATATTGCCAAGTTTGATTTCCTCATTTTCAGGTGTATCCTGGGACCTTGGAGTTTCCTCTACATGTCTATTCCTATCTCCTCACCCCACTGATACATGTCCTAAATAGTGTCAGATGATAATCCACATGTCACTATGTTTAATGTTTTTTCCCATAATCTTATATCATGTTTGCCCATACTAAATTCTGTCTCCTTGGGGACATTTCAGAGAGAAATAATTTACTTGTATCAATGGCTTTATAGCCCATTCTGGAACATATAATGAGAATAAGAGACAATATTGTAATCATTTATGTTAAGAAACATTTTTAAAATTTTTTGAAGGAATAGATAATATAAACAAATCAATAGCTGCAGATAAATAAAGAAAACCTTTACTTATAAAAGCTCTTGGCTATGATAACACAATTTATAATGGTGATATATTTAACATATTATAAACCAAATGAATGTAAAGGGGGTTTTATAATTAAATCAGAGGTACAGGAGCTGTCTCAACACAGTTTCAAGCAGTGTAACTGAGATCTATCCTAACAGAATAATTTCTGTCAGAACTTATTTAATTTTAGAAGCTATAATCCAGTGTTTCCACAGAGTATTTTATAAGTTCCTTTATTATTTTTTCTATGAAATTTATGTTTGTAAAAATGTCTAGAAGCAAAATACATTGATATAGTTTTGATTAATTTATAATATTTAATTCATTAATATAATCATAACTTCTGATAAGCATGAGATATATAGGAATTAATATGATTACAGAGAAAAGCAAAGATATCTGATTTTTTTTTAGGCTATGCAATGTTGTAGACATTTTTGTAGACAATACATGTGTTGTAGACATAACACATTGTATGTGTTATGTTTTACTAGTTTAGTACTGAAAATAATATACAGTCTCACAAAATATTCTTCCTTGAATGCCATGCGTTTCATCCAATTTGGAGATGATCATTTTAGATAACAGTAAAGCAAAGTATTTTGTGTCCAATAATAGAAAAAAGAAGTTGTATATGTCATCAGTACCTAACAGGGTGCTTAGTTAAAAAGCACTATAAAATAAAGACAAAAAACTCTTGAGTAAGTGAAGATCTTCCTTCTTAGACAAATTGGTTTTACTTACTTCCTACAATAAGGCATGTGCTTCATTTTTGTATAGTACTTGGCAATTTTAAAAACATCTTCCATCTATCTCATTTGATTCTCATTCTTTGTACACAAGACATGCACAAATATTCCTATTTTACCAATGAGCAAATTCTCAGTTGGATCTGAGACTCTGTTTTGTGGGATGTTGATAAAGGTTCTTCCCACACTCCTCATTGTCAAAACTACCTTTAATTTTTGTAACAGATGTGCTCAACTCAGTTAACTGAGTATACATTTTTAACTTCTCAGACGTCTGTCAAGGTCCACCTTGGCATCAGTTTGCTCTGAAACTTGGCTGTGCTGGGGTTATTCTTCTTGTCTTGAGTGTGATCGGGTTGACTGTTTCAGGTAAGTGAGGTAAGATTTGTTTCAGAATATTAATTCTACTTTATCACAAACATCAGAGCATCTTAACATAATTTGGCCACCACAAATTTAGTGAAAACCAAGGAAATAAAATATTAGAAATCAATGTTTCTAACAGTCATCTCAGTTTCCATTTTGAAAACTTTAGCCGTTCACATTTATCTCCTTAAGTGGTTTGAGAGTCATCATGGGGTGCTACACATGAACTCTGAGAATGTTAAAAAAATTCACAATTATAAGGAAAAAATGGCAATAACAAAGAAAAGTAAAAGGTATAGTTATTTACAATTTATTAAGTACCCACTAAATTCCATATCGAGGTAGATGGTCTCTCTCTCTTGGATTAGGCATAAGTATCCTCAGTAGGAATATACAAAGTTCAGGCAAGAGTGAAGCAATTTAAAAGTGTAAGTAATGCCCTCAGCTGATTTATCTAGTAGATAACAGGTAACCTAATATCCATGTGAGTCTACTTGTTTCGTCTTTTTTCTTGTTTATGTATGCTGCCTCTAGTTGTTGGCACATTGTTACCCTTTGTGTTTTGTCCACATTCAAGCTTATTGAGATAACTTAGTTTCCTGAAGTGATAAATATAACCTACCCATTCCACTACACATTTCAGCATTTAACTCTCTTAATGGTTTTTCCTTATTTACTAGTGATATCATTAACACAAAAATCATCAATAGAAAGATGCAGTGTGAATGTTCAACAGAACAGAAATGAAACAACAGGTAATTTTGTGGCTTGAATTTCCTCAGAATAACAGTTAATATTTGATAGGTAACATGTGTTTTATTTCTTTTTTTCTTTCTCTCTTTCCTTCCTTCCTTCCTTCCTTCTTTTCTCTCTCTGTCTCCCTACTCCCTCCTCTTCTTTCTTCCTTTTTATTTTTATTTTATTTCAGATTAATATGATGGTATAAACAAGCATGTGTTAGTTTAGTTAAGGTTCAAGCAATCTGTTATGTTTAGATACTGTTATCATCCTACTTTTATGCTTGAGAAAATTGATGTGCAGAAAGGTTAAGCTACTTGCTGAGGGTCACACAGTAGAAAGGGATGATGCCAGGAATTACGCTTAGGAGGCCTGACTTCAGAGCCTGAGGTCTTAACCATGAGGATATGCTGCCTCAGAAGAAGCCTCTGCTGGGATAGTCAATTAATTGTTAGTAGCCAAATATCAAATTAAAAAGTAAAATACACCTTCAAGTGAAACATTTGATTATTTTAATGAATATAGCAAGTAGCTAAGTTTAGTCTGAAGTTAATTAATAGAACTTAAAACATAGAATGTATTATTTAGTATTATATTTCCTTAACATGTACACATTAACCTTGTTCTAGTGTGTGTGTTAATAAAGACAACTATTGGCACCGTCTTCCACTGGCCCATCTTCTATGCCCTCCACCTGCCCCAGGGTATTTTCCCCCTTTCCTCTTCCTCCTCGTTTACCCTCCTAAAAAAAAAAAAAAAAAAGATGACCACTATTGAGTAACTGTGATAGAATGTGATCTGTATACACATTCTCTCAGAACAGAAATTTTTTAAAACCCAGAAAAATATCTGGAAAATGCTATCCAATAAATCATATTAAGTAGGCAAATATATCATTGGCAATTAGAAATTTTATGATTTTTTTTAAGTTATGGCATTTCCATTAATTTGGTGAAATGAATTATTATTTTTCTTTACATTTGCATGCTTTTTAAAATCAGCATTTTTAAGATGAGTTTTGATTTTGTTGCCCATGTTGTGGACTAGCCACTGATGATGAAATTAAGGAAATAAAGAAATACTTTTGACTCTACCATCTGATTGGGTAAGCTTAAACAAATTTTTCTGTCTCTCAATGTCTTAAAACGTAAGATGTGGCTGTTATACAGAATAGAGTGACAGTCGCACTCTGTCACCCTGACCAGAGTGCTATGGCATCATCATAGCTTGCAACAGATTGAGTCCAAGAAATTGAGGTTGCTGCAAGCTACTAAGGCCTGTAGCCTCAGCCTCCCAAGTAGCTGGGACTACAGGCTTCTACCACAATACCCAGCTAGTTTTTCTATTCTTAGGAGAAATGGGGTCACACTCTTGTTTGGGCTGGTTTCAAACTCTTGAGCCCAAGCAATGCACCTGCCTCGGTCTCCCAGCATGCTAGGAATATAGGCATGAGCTACGGCGCTGGGCCCCACAAGTTTAAATTATTTTGATGGTATCTTCCTATTTTAATATTCTATAATTTATGCTCAATATAACTGGTCACAAATTCTCAATTCTTAGTACTGGAATGAACAATAGGTTTCATAAACCTCAAAATTATAACAAATTTATTGTTCTCACAATGATAATCAAAGACTTCCAAGCATTTATAATGACTTCTGTGTGTTACCATGTGGTGTGGTAGGGACAGGTTAGGCATATAACACTTATGTATTTCTTTTTTCTGTTTCTTAATTTAGAGAGCCCAAGTCCATTACAGTGCATGGAACCTTGGCAGTCATTCCAAGATAAATGCTTGTTGTTATCTACAATTAATAAGCCTTGGAATATCAGTCTAGTTGATTGTTCCACAAAAAAATCCAGTTTACTTCTTATTCAAGATCAAAAGGAATTGGTAAATCTTTAAATAACATACCTTAATAAAACTTAGCGCTTCCTTTAAACCAAGATCTCTGGGCTTTCTTCCAAAGATTTTATGTGTTGAAAGTGGGGACTTTGAATTTAAGATGCTCATAATTGTAGAGATTAAACAGACATATATGCAAATAATTTAATAAATAAAATAAATAAAACAAAAAATAAAAATATATATAGAAAACTATAACTATATAATTACAGAGAAGTGACAGTTAACTCTGATGAGAAGTCAGGAAAACTTCAGTGAGGGGTGATGGTTGAACTAGGTTTTAGGGGATGAGTAGAATATAAAAGATGAACAGATGCAACACTCAGCCATTTCTTCTGTCTCATGTATAGAGACAAATACAGATGCAGATAAAAGATGAAGGAATTTCATTTTGGATTGGATTAAATTTTACTTTACCAGAGAAGAAGTGGAAGTGGATAAATGGTTCTTTTCTAAATCCTGCAACGTGAGTATTAGATGAGATCATTTTAATATCCCATTCTCCTTGGGTTTACATTATAATGTAGTAACATTTTATGGAAGATTAAGTTTTGTAGTTTTAATTTGGTTTAGAAATTCTCAAGAGGTTCAAAATAATCTGGGAAGATGGGGGATTCTGAAGTTGGTAGATAGGTCCATGTATGAAAAGACATCAGACCTCTACAAGAGGTCTCTACAAATATATACAAATATATACAAATATATATTTTTATCTGCAGTGGCATTTTAAGTGGCAAGGCCTAGACTAACTCCTTGGGAGGAGGGGAATGTGAAATTTAAAAGAAATGTCTAGCTAGAGGCTATTTGCACACAGAATCTCTTGTGTAGAAGTAGTTTTTCAAACTCTGGGAAAGTGTATCTTAGTGAATCATGAAATCAATTTTAAAAATTGAAAGCATGGTTATGAAAGGAAAAAATAGTAAAAATCAGAATGTGAAACCAAAACACTTGAGAGTATCTAGCAACATTATGACAAATATGGCAGTACATTTTAGCCAATAGTGTGAAAGGGACGTTTCTGAGGAACTGTGATGAAAATACATGTAAGCCACAAAAGAGGCATTTGCTGTTTTCTTTTTGGTGTACCAGTATTATTTCTTGTGTATTATGTTTGAGATAACCATAAATGTAATAAGAGGCATGATGCTACATAATTAGATGTCATATTTCAGCAGAATTCATAGTTAATTTTACAACAAAGGGCAGGGTACTGTTCTCTCTTGCAAGCAAAAGCATGCAGACATTTGACTAAGTTTCTGTGAAGAACTTTCAGTAAAGTTTATCAAAAGAGATAGTATTGAGAGTTACATGGAATGAGTCTATGAGGATTTACTCAAATTTGCATAATTTATACATAAAATGTTGTCTATCATTCAAAAATCAAGAGGTTGAAATTTAAAACAAAGGTGCATGTTTCAGTTTATCTAAAATATAGGGATAATTTATTAAGTGGAGAAAATAATAAACATTGAAAGTAATGTTGGCTTAAAAAGAGCCATATTCTGAGATATTTTTTAAGTGTGAGAATTTAAAGATTATTCAAAAGTAAGTGTTTGGGGCTATAATTAATTTATAAAAATGAAAACATTTTTCTTTAATAACATCTCTCCTGGTTTAATATAATATTTTCTGGAGATTATTTTCTATGCTTTTATTTATAAGCAAATAAAAATTTATTTGGTATTAACTTACTTTTATCTTTTCATACATAGTAAGGGTTAATTTTTGTTTATTAAACAGAATATGTGTGTGTTTCTCAATTTGGTCATGATAGAAAATGTTTATTATTATAGTTCATAGGAAAAATAAAATTGGAAAATATTAAAGTATCTGTGAGCAAAAATACATGTAATGTGAATGGAATAAATTCAGTTGAAAATTGAACCCCCCATTTTATTCTGAGGAGAGAAGTGATGCTTTAAGTAAGATAGCAGTGATCAGATGAAGCTGGAAGGTATGTTATAGTGAAAAGAACACCAGTTAGAGCCTGCTTTTATTTGAAATCTCTGAGCCTTATTTTTTTGGCAAGAAAAAAAAGGGGAAAGTGGAGAGATAATAATGTGTTACACAGAATTGTTTTGTGAGTTAAAGGAGATAATGTTAGAGAACTAGCTGGATATTTCATAGAGGAAGGTCTGGAAAGCTGAAAGCTATCAGAGCCTTTTTGAAAGGCAATCATTGATTCAACCAAATTGGCATTGAAAAAGTTCACTTGAAAATTGAAGAAAGAATTAGAAGAGTTGTAGAGACAAACTATAGGGGAGTTTTGCAGTAGCCCAATTGAGATAAGTTGATGGTTTGACTAGAATATTGAGCAGTAGGAAAAAATCAGACTAGCAGTTCAAGCCCAAGGGGCTGGATGAAAATAATAGGACAGAGGGAAAAAGAAAGGCTGTGATGGTTGGAGCTCTGCCCACTGCCACCAGCTCATCTTTTTGAGACAATCGGTGAGTCTTGAATTCATTCCATTCTTGCATCCCAACTCTAATAGTGCCCGTCCATCATTTCAATTCTATTTCTACTTCCACCTCAGTGAACCACAGGATTCATGCTACTTTAAAACAAATATTTCAAAGCAGACACCCACTAACTTATGTTTAACAAAAGAATAGAAGAAACATCTGACTACCTATCCCATGAACGGAGCCTCTTTCTCTCACAGAATGTGTTATGATCCATTATTTCATTTCCAAGCAACACAGTTGACAGTGTACTTTCTGATTCACCCGTGTGAGCTTCAACTTGCTGAGAGGGCCTCATTTGTTGTTTCCATCTGTGCAGATGTTACACTTCTTGATTTTTGTGTTTGTTAAAACTTGTTATGATCCATATCCACCTATACCTCTATACACTTATCACATGAGCCCATACTTTGTTTAAGCATTGTCACACTTTTATATATGACATCACAATGCCTTCCCCAAATTTTAGGTGGTTATACTCTCTATGAAGAAGAAAACTGAGGCTTGATAAAATTAAGAAACTATTCACATGACATGCTAGCAGTAGCATAAAAAGATTTAATTGCCAGTTTCTAAAGCTCCTTTTAGAAAATACCATTATTAAATTTCTTGTTAGAGGATACTTTTCCAGTGAAGGTGAATTGAAACTTTCAGAGATTTATTCGTGTATTAACTTTATCTTAAAAGTGCAAACCATTACACATGTATTTCTGGCTGCGTACTTAATATGATTAATAATTTAGCCTTCCAATATTTCCTGAAAGACCCAGGAAATAATGGTTAAATAGGGATAATTATTAGAAAATCTTAAACCCTGAGAGGCTTTTCTTTTGCTCCACAGATTAAACATTTTAGGTGCTACTAAAGAAAACAGTTGTGTTTATATCACAAAAAAAGATGTTTATTCTGAAGACTGTGGTGTGGAACATAAATGGATCTGCCATAAAGGATAAAAACTGTTATAAAAAAAGTACATCCTACGTCTTGACCATGAATTCCATCTCAATTTCCTTACTTTTAGCTGCACATACTGTGGATACTGCCCAATGTACATTTAGTGGCACAAGCGAACAAATGCCAAGAATTCTGTAAGGGTTGGGAATCTCACAAAAGTCTGTGTCAAATCTATTCATTTCATATATGAAGAAACAGGAAAATAGAGAAAACATATAATTTTAAGAAATAGCATTGTTCTATGGAAGGGAGCCCAGACAAGTTGAGAGGCATTGGATTCTAACCCTGGTGTACATACATGGCCTTCATGGGTCCTCTTTGTCTCCACTCATCTCCAGAAAAGCTGTAGTGACTGGTTTCTAAAGTCCTGCCTGTCTATCACAGTCTATCATTTTTTGTACCACTACACAATGGAGTTGTGGCAGAACATTGATTCAACTCCATTCTCTTAGCTGTGAGCAGTGGCAGTATTGTAGCCAGTGAGATTTATCCAATGTATAATTATTGCTAATTGAAAACTTTTTCGAATACCCTACTATGATGACTTGAAATATATGCAGCATTGGCATTTTTTTTTATTGAATGGTAACTGTGTACATTGATGCACTATGGGGGTACAATGTGGTGTTTACACACACAATCCAAGACACTTTCATCAAACTGGTTAACATAGCCTTCATGTAACTTTCTTAGTCACTATGTCAAAACATTCATATTCTACTCATAGAAAGATTCACTTGTACCCTTGCAAGATGAACCACAGAAGTGAACTCTCGAATCCCTTTCCCCC